TTTATCATCACGGGTTTATTACGAATCAACTTAACGGCCTGCTCCCAGTTGGCTTATTAGCTCAATTGGTAGAGCGCTGCGCTAGTATCACAGAGGTCAGTGGTTCGAATCCCGTACAGGCCTGATTTTTTTCAGGTCTGATTTCCGCTATTGCATAAATAGCGCTCTCTACTGCGAGGATCGTGCATCATACGTATCTAATACCGCAGTTCAAAATATATGAACTTCATATATACATTGTATCTGATTTATTATCACGGGTTTATTACGAATCAACTTAACGGCCTGCTCCCAGTTGGCTTATTAGCTCAATTGGTAGAGCGCTGCGCTAGTATCACAGAGGTCAGTGGTTCGAATCCCGTACAGGCCTGATTTTTTTCAGGTCTGATTTCCGCTATTGCATAAATAGCGCTCTCTACTGCGAGGATCGTGCATCATACGTATCTAATACCGCAGTTAAAAATATATGAACTTCAATTCATTCATTAGGTGTCGAATTTATCATATGCTACTTGTTGACAGATTGTTGACAGAGAAGCTCTAGTGCGACTTCGGCCTTTTTCACAATTCTCTTTAATTAGGATTCGGGGTGATTTTCCACCATTCCGTCCTAAGGGATTTGGGGTGATTCTTCCACCATTCCATCATTTCGTTGTTCCGTTTACCGTCTATTGTCTACAGTAGTGCCTGACGCAAACGAAGCATTGACTCTTAGCGTAAGCAGGAACCCCCGTACCCCGAACTTCAACACAAATTAGTCGGAGAGCCAAAGTCTAACTTGCATTTACTCATCGATTTATTAGGGGCCGACCATTTAACTCTTGAGGAGGGGGGTGGGTGATTTTGAAAAAAAATTTCCTGGAAGCACTTGTTGGAAGAAAAAAATTGCATGCAGCCCAAATGTAACAGAAAATAAAAGAGCATTTAGAACGGAAAAAAATATCCTGCCCAACAGATTGCTAGAAAAAAATTTCTTGATGACCAGAAATCACCCAAGCCCAGCTCCCTCAAAAGTTAAATGGTCGGCCCCTTATCATAACCTGATTCCGCATCTCCGTGAAATTACATCATGCAGTCGACTCGTCAACGTTCGATATTTGGCAATGTGTTGACACATCTCCGTAAAATAACAGCACGCCTTCTTACTCTCAGGCTTTTAACAGAAGACCTTTAGAGACATTTGGACATTGTAAACTCAGTTAAGGAACTGTGACGAGAGGAGCAAGCGCACACTGAGGAAAGCAAAGGTTTAGAAAACTCTGCGTTTCACTACAGGTATGTTTCGCAGTTTTTTTACTTACTTACGGAAAAAATTGCCTGAAACTGTGCTCAATTTTCATGCTCTAATGACCTCGTCTTCCAAAAAGATGACTGGAATAAGACTGAACTCAGGGATCGAGTAGATTAGTCCGAAAATTGTGAAACTTGCCGAAAAACCACATGGTTAACCGCACAGAGTATTGCAAGATTATAACACAGCGAGTAACATGAAACCTTTTTCATTTCCGGAAGTTTGACATTTGCGGCACGGAAATTTTTGTTTAAAGTGCGACTGAGATCAAATTTAGCGCTTGCCAGATTTTTCGCTTTTTAGAATCCTTATCGGCTACTTACCACTTTCTCGAAATTTGGAATGAAAATTCGAAGTGGAAGTCTGTTTTTTTTAGACTTGTTTTCCTCGATTCAACGTCCGCCATTACTCGAACTGCAAAATGACCGCACGTTAGTCCGTGACGTCATCTTATCCCTTCAACTTTTGCGCAGGCTCTTAACTAAGAAATGGACGGAGATTGTTGTACTTGAATAGTTCTAGGAGACTAATCGTCGTTTCGAGGCGGGAAATGGCACCCTAGGGTTGTGTTATGTAGGATTGAGCAGTTATTCTTTAATATGAGTGCTGAAATACCGCTACACAGGCCAAACGAAATAGTTACGAAAGCTAATGGATGGCATTCGTACGCCTACATAGCTCAAACCTCCAGCCGAATTGGGAGTATCGACGTGGATTATGCATGAAAAAGGATTGCCCTGGGTGCCATTCCTAGAATATGGAAAACACTTTTCAGCTGGCTATGTCTCCAAGAAGTCGCCAAAAGGCGAGTGTTGTTGGATCGTGATCGTTCCGTTCGTTCTCACCTCACGGTTTCTAGACCTCTAGAACATGCAACGACTGAACTTTCCTTGAGTTACATTTGTTTTGATTTTCTTTGTTATCTATTTAGTTATTCTCTGACTCGTAATCCTCCTTGTAAGATTTGTACACAAAAAAAATTTTTTCTGTTGGAATAAAGTCTTACCTTTCCTTTTACCGTAAAAATTGCTTTCAATCCATGAATATCAATGGCTCTATATTGCTGTAGGAGTATGAAAAATTGCCTACCTTCCCAACTTGATCTGGCCTGACAAAAGCCATGGAAAAGGCCTCTGCAGCTGAGAAGACAGGCTTTCTGGCGGGCTACCATTCTGTGGATAATCAATTTTCCCCGAAGATGTAGACCAGCTCATACCTATACTCTGCATGTTTATAAAATTTCATATAACGCAAAGAACAGGTAGTTAATTTCACTGTATATGAACAGCAAAGCACCAGGTACTATTTTCTTAAAAAGCACAATACTTTAATTAACTAAAAGATTATCAGGAGTAATTATATTTTTAGGGGCAATTCAAATTTGTTCCTCCATGATATGCATTGCATAGCCACACTAATAATTTCAAAAAGGAAAAGTTAGAACATGTAAATTTATTTACTTATTCTGTTTTCTAATTCTTGGTTCTAGAAACAATTTGGTTGTAAATTACTTATTCTCAATTGTTGTGCTAACTATGGGCTATCAGTCCTACCACTGGCAGCTTGAAGGGAAACAAAGGTGGAAAACCAAGGCCAGCCACATCTTTGGGTAGCCTACCCAAAGTACAAGGATGTACTTTGACAGGCCAGGGTAGCATTAAATTATAATGAAGTTTTACATAGTGCATAGATCAAGCAGATGCATACCAACTTACACAAATGTTTCCCTGTAAAAACAAATGTGCAACATAAGTGATCAGACTCCTTTTTTGTTTTCTCAATTCATCATTTTGATACATTCTGTAATTGATAACCATATCAACAGAAGATATTAAAAAAAGGGGCCAATGAGCTTAAAAAATAGTACACCAGGTGCTTTACACCTAATGCTTGACAAGGGGTCAGAAGAGCAAGCCATACAAAAGCTTTAATGATATCAATGAGTGATCCAATAATCCCTGTGTAAACAGGGGTACTTGTACTGACTGAATGAACAGTTATGTTTGTGCTTGTCATCATGGATTCGAAGGACTCCATTGGGAAACAAGAAGGAAAAGACTGTGATTTGTTCATAATGGTGACCTTGACAGTATTCCTTCTGAACTTTTTCTCACTACATCCATCCATTACTGGTAACCCCACAATGCAGTGGATAAACATGTGTTCAATTGAATAAATAAACAAAAGAATCACTCAATAGTAAAATTAGTATTGTCCTGCTTCACCAAATGTTTAGAAACATGATTACCTTATAGTAAAATTAATTTAACCTTTGTTAAGATTTACTTCCTCTGATCTAAATTTTTGGGAGCACATTCAAATACAATTAATTTGTAGAAGGCAGACCACCTGGCAAATCTAAGGTTCGAGAAGGTGGTGAACTACAGATTTGCAGCAAGCCATGCAACCATGTAAACTACAGGACCACACTGCTTAATTTCTTATTATTCCTAAACTAACAAAGCTACAAACACTTTGATTTGATGCTCACAGGACAGTTGTGTATAGTTCAACACAAAATAACTTCAGGAGTGTGCAAACTCCCTACTGCTACTGTTTAGTTGTCTTGAATTGCAAGGAAATTACATAAGTACATGTATTTCTGGAGTTGAGTTTCTGGGTGTTACAGTAACAGTGTGGACAAAATACTTATGTTCCCTGAGAATCACAAAAAGTCACGGTCCTTTGTAAAAGTTTATTAGCATTCTGATTTTTTTCCGAAGATGAAAAGCTGCACAAACACGAGTCCATAATAATGTGTAGTAAAACCCAATTCATAGAAATAAAAAGGCTATTGATTTTCTTCGAAACCATGGTATACCACAGTTTCGCTAGGAAAAGCGTTGCATAACGGCCTTAAGACATTACACGACAAAGAGAAAAGATTTGAACTTCCAGCGAAATAAGAACAAGGGTAAACTGGCTGGAAGAGTACTGCTGGAAGGCACCTTATAACAATAATTAGTATAATTTTAGAGCTGAACAAAGAGTTTCCAGCAATCTGATTGGTCGAGTGGTTCCTTATATGAC